GACCAGGGCCTGCCCAGAAGCCTGGGCAGAGGATCAATGTCCTGCTGGAAGAACCTGCGCTTCTGCACCCTGGGAGTCACCTTTTCCACTTCCAAAAGAAGCAGAGACATCGGCCAGGCCCCAGATGCCAGGGCTCCCCTTTCCAAAGCCCAGCTCACACAGGTGGCAAGAGCATCCTGCAAACTGCTTGCTCGACACAGGCTGCTCTTCCAGAATGAGGCATCTCTAGCTAGACCCTGCAATTCACCTTTTAATATCTTTCAGATTTTTATTTCTGAGATCAAATAAGATTTGATCCTAAATACAGGCAGATGGATAAAATAGCTACTATATATTTTGAGTCACTCAGCTACTGGCTTTGAGTCATGATTGTGCTGTCTTTATGGCTCTTAAACACAGTGTTTGCACAGCTTTGTAGAATCTTGCTGGGGTTTTTGGAAGCTGATTTTCTTCTCTGATAACAGAGATAAGGTGTGCTATACTCCACTTCAGGTGAATGCTGGGCAATTAAGATTGCTGGAGGCAAAAGCCTGGTAATGGTTTGGTCAGAGACTCATGCAGATCTGGCACAGCAGCCCTGTCCACAGCACAAGGCAGATTTCACTGTGAGTATGTGAGTTTTCAGGGTGCATGTGTGATCTGGCCTGTGACAGGCAGAGTTTGTCCCTTGCATTTCAGGAAACCTGATGCAGTGTTATAAAGATAAATATGCTGTGGGAATTGATAAACAGTCACAAAATTAATGAGAGCCAAGGAGGCTTCATGGCCATTTGCTCATCTAATGAGAATTTAACAATAAATTGATAAAAAAATATAAATTACATATTTGGTTATTAAAAGCTGATTCAACCAAATAAAGATTGAGCTACACACATACTTATGGGTACTAGCCCTGAACTAGCTGGGGCTGTACCAGTGTCAGACAGGAGCAGACTGAAACTGCTGAAAATAAAAGCAAAATGTGAGGAGGTGACTAGTAAAGTGATTTGTTATTGTCCTTGGTGGATTTTTGCACAGAGTACCAGTTGGGTGTCTGTCCTTGAAGCAGTTCACCCTGAAGGAGGGTACAGGGCACATGGGCAGAACTCTACTGGTGCATGCCCTACCTGCAGTCTGACAGACACAGGTGTGTCAGTCCAGGCGTGCCCTACTCAAGCAGACATTTGTCAGACCGACTTTGTAACTGTGCCTGGTCCTGGAAGAGGGATCTTCTTGTTCTTTCTGGCTTGGCCTCTGTTCACAGAAACAGGACTGTGGGTAGTCCTGGTTCCAAAGCAAGATAAATACCAACAAAACATGGAAGCCATCACCAGTTTCTCCTTCCACAGGGAAGAGACAGAAAACAATTGCACAAGCTACACAAGAAAGGAGCTGAAAAGGTATGTGACAAGACACCTGTGAAGGACAGCTGCTGAGGCAGAGGAGCAAACTGCAGAGGGTTGGCTAGTCAGGGCTAGTGTGTGCAGAGATCCTGGCAATCAGGACAACCAGCCTTGGCCAAAACAAATCCTGCAGGGCATGGCCTCCTTTTTCACTGCACCATACCAGGGGTGCCTTGGTGGTATCTGTAGAATACGAAGTGCTGAGCTGTGTGCTCATGCTTCAGCTTGGGAGGCTTTGTGCACCACAGAGTTGTGGTGGGCTGGAGACCCCATGTGAGAGCTTCCAGAGATGCCCTGGAGTCATGCAGAGAGAGGAGAAAGGCATAGTCATAGCAGGAGAAACCCACTGACCCCGTTGTTCACCACTGCCCTTCCCTGCTTCTGGCAGGTTCTCCGCCTTATGTAACTGGGTCTAACTGTGTTTTCAGAGCCACATTTTTCTCTCCTCTTGGCAGCAGGCTCCCGCCATGCCCTCCCCTGAACCCCACCACGGTGTGCAGGAGCAGGGCAGAGCTCCCATTTCATGGAGCTGTTGCCAGGCAGAACACGCAGCCTTGAGGCCTCCCAGTCCAACTTCACCCTACCAGGGCTGCAGGGTGGCAAGAGATGGGGCCAGCTGGGCAGAGCAAGGAAATAACCCACAGGTGCCTGGAGAGGCCCTATGTGAACCTCTGAGGGTCACTCATGTCAGGCTTTCATAAAAGAGGAGAGAAAATACTCTGAAAACGTGCAGCTCTCAGCAGAAGAGAGTCCAAGCAGCTTCAATGCAAAACCTTTCTCTTTGAAGGGTTTTGAAAGGTGCTATTCCCTGTCCAAAGTGCCCTGGGAGAGGCCAGCCAGCCCGCCAGGGGCTGGGGACTGCAGCCCAGTGCTAAGGGAGGAGGGCACAGCTTGCACCTGGAGAGCTGCAGCCTTGCTGCTGCTGCTGCGCTGAGCAGGAGATGAGCATGAGTCCTTCCTTCTCCCACGCAGGAGCTGGTGCAAACAGGCAACAACCACAGCGACCACTGGCCTCTGCAAAGAAGGCATCAGGAGGCTGTTCACAAGATGATCAGGATCCTTCTTGTCCCTGAGCAACTCTTTGATCTCTGGCCTTTGGGGCCAAGGCAGTAAGGGAAGATATGAAGTAGCCCTTAGAAGGCAGGGAGGCTGCAGATGCCTCTGTTCTTTATCCCAGGCCTGCAGGAGTCAGGGAACAGGAAGGCTTAGATTTCACACCACTTAGCAAATAGGGGCCTTCTGGGAATGGTGTCATCTGTGCTTTGCAGTGCCATCAGAGACAGAAGAATTGCATCATTTCTGTTAGCTGCCAAAATGATGAGATTGCTTGGGCCTTGCAACAACAACAAAATCAAACAAAAACCCCAAACAACCAAAAAAACCCAAAAACCAAAACCACCATGACAACTTGATTTTCCTTTAACCCTTCAAGGACCTGATGCCTCCAAGACACCAACTAGGGAAGTGCCTGCCCCCCTTCAGCCTGTGGGGAAAATGTCTCCTAAGTGTAATGATGCCATAAACTGTCCTTATTCAGCTGGTGTATTGAGAGCCCAGAGCCTCTGGGGTCAGGACAGACTGATGCTTTCCTCAGGCTTTGGGGTCCATCAGGCCACTCTTGGTGCATTGCAGGGTGTTAGGACTGCAATACCTGCACTCTGTGCAGATGTGCTCCCCACAGCCTTTGAGGACAGAGGGAAGTGGTGCAAGGGGTGGCAGCCCAGGGCCTGCCGGGCTGTGTCCCGCTGTGTCCCAGCCCAGAAGGGGTTAAGGTGAGGCCTGTTCCAGGGGGTCACAGCAGCTGGCAGGAGGGGCGGTTTTGGGAGGGGAGAGCAGCCCTCTCCCTGAGCCAATGGCCAAACGAGTCCGTCCTCACGCCCAGTTCTGAGGCCTATTTCATGGGCAAAAATTCGCAGGAATTCCTTCTCAAGGGGATTCGTCCTGGATGAACAGTAGGGACTGGACCCCCCAGCTTGTTGGTCTCTCTCTCTGTGTGCTTTAGAAGGTAAAGTACTGTGCTCTAGTACCTTGATTCTTTCAGGAGGAAAAGTGAGGAGATCATGCCTGGCTGCCTACACTGAAGGCATCAGCTGTACCTCTGCCTGCAGCTCCCCTTCGCATGGGAACCATGTTGCATGGGGGTGTGAAGGCTCTGCATTGTGTGTCTGGGACTGAGCCTGCCCTGAACTGAGATGTATGGCTTACTTCTCTGCTCATTTTTTATGTAGCCCTGCTGCAAGTTTTTCAGCTGCCTTTCTTTTGGTAGAAAGGACACCCAGGAGGTACTAGTAGAGAAGCTGGAGTCTTGCTTTGTGGCTCTATTAGATCAGCCTGAGCTGCTATAAACAGGCATGAATGGGGCATCTCTAGGTGCAAGCTTCACTGAAGCAGTGAAGACATTTGTTCAGGTGGCACATCTTTCCTGAACCAGGCAATGCTACAGCCCTTCCAGCTCAGTCTCTGCAGCAAGGAAGGGGTAGCTGTGTTACAGGTATCTGCAAGTATGGTTCTAGCTGCCATCAGGAAAGGGCCACTGTTCACTGAATTGCCTTTCAGTGCAACAGAGAAATAAAGCAGTGCAGAGAGCATAAGCAGTTTATGGCAGGATTACAGGGTAGTGTGCTAGTTTCAGCAAAAAAGGGTGTGAAGGCTCAGGAGTTCTCTGTCTGCCCTGTGTCCTGTCCCTAACCTTCTGCAGGTTCTGCCCTGAGTCAGCAGCAGTTTGTAAATAAGGCTTTTGCTGGCTTGAGTCTGGTTTCTGCTCTGGGTATAAGTGCTGGGGTGTCTAAGTTCCTTTTGTGTGTGTTTTGTGGCCTAGAAGGCAGCTGTTCTCGTGTTGAGCTTTCCTTGTTGCCCAGCTTTGGGAAGGAGTACAGGCCCTCTGCCTGGGGAAGTGCCACCTCCCTGATTTCCCTCTTGGCTGTGCCAGTCTTGCAACATTCTCCAAGTACTGCCTTTTGACCTGGGTCTCTGGGCCAGGCTGATGCCCCCTGTTGCTCTGCCAACAGGCAAGTGTTTAACCTCTACCCTGCCCCTGCCCAGTGGACCAGAACTACCTTTTTGGCATCTGAAATTTGATTTAAGCAGTGCCGTATTTCTGTCTCCAGACTGGAGGGGCATTATGTATGTGAACAACCACAGTGAAGGTTGAGAACCAGAACTGATCCTTGTGGTTGCAGCTTGAGCTGTGCAAGTGAATAGCTGGGGGGGAAGAAGGGAGATGACCCAGCCCTTCTGTCCATGGAACACTGAATCTGCAGTCAAGCAGAGACCACAACATGCTGCTAGCTCATGGCTGCTGAGTGTAATGGGGGTCTGCTCCTCCTTAGCAAAGCAAGCTCATACTAAGCAGTGGAGCAGCTAGCAAACAGAGGTACCTTTTTCTTTCCCACTGCACTGTGCTGTCATTTATACATGGGGTTTAACTTAATTCTGGCACTGAATGCAGCCCTACTTGCTGCTGCTGACTGAGCTGTCCATAGGCAGCAGGTAGGGTCTGCAGCTCTCACAAGGGTTACTTTTGGATAGTCAGGGGTTGTGTCCCTAATCGGGCAGACCCCTTGTTTGGCATGTGTTAACTAAGCCTTGGAAATCCACTTCACACTGACAGCTCTCAGAATGGACTCATACCTGATCCAAGTGAACGGCCGTGGAGATCATGCCCCTCTGCTGGATGTTCATCTCAAGACCAACGGGAACAACATATCGCTGGGGAAGGTGAAGAGCCGAAAGCCAAGATGGGCTGTCAGGGCTTCTGAAATGTCAAAGAAGACTTTCAATCCTGTTCGAGCCATTGTAGACAGCATGAAGGTGGAGCCCAACCCAAAGAAAGCTATGATCTCCTTGTCCTTAGGTGAGCATAGTGCTGTGGCTGAAGCCTCAGAGCAGCAGGGTCAGCTGTGTGGCTGGCAGATGGCAGGGCTCTGAAGCAGCAAAGCTTGTGTAGGCATCCAGAGGTAGGCCAGACAACCACACACCTCTGGGTCTGTCACTGATCATTGAGAATGTTAACATTTTTAAATCTTTGAAAAGGAGATCCAACGGTCTTTGGAAACCTTCCCACAAATGATGAGGTCACACGGGCTATGAAGGAGGCTTTGGACTCAGGACGTTACAACGGTTATGCTCCATCTGTTGGTAAGTTGACAAAACTCACTCTGTAAGAGCTGGGTGAAGTCATGCCAGCTCCCACCCACTGCAGGTCTATGGGGCCCACAGACATCTTTCCAGTAGCCCCCTGCAGCTGCCCTCACCAATAGGCCCATGAGCACACAAGCAGGTGTATCCCTGGATACATCTGAGTGCTCTTCCCTGCATGATCCTTGAGGCCTGGAGCCTCCTGCAGAGCCTGTGCTTGCTGCCCCAGCCGTTACAGCAGGCAGGTTTTCAGGCACCCAGAAGGGCTCAGGGCCGTGTCTGCCTGACGTGGGTCACAGCCAAGTTCCTTTCTGACCTGCTTTGACCAGGACTCCCCTTGGACTTCCTGACTTCACAGACAACATGAGCCCTCTTCGTAGTTAGTGCAAAAAGCAGGCACAGAGCACAGACCATACCTGCCTCGCAGGGCAACATGTGGTGACAGGGAGGGCTGCCCCTGGGCCCTCACTGAACAGTGAAGGCCATGCAAAGAGCACTCAGCTTCCTGCAGGTCACAGCAGCTCCTTGGCTACCTGTCACCCTGCTCCTGAGGTCTGTGTCCAGGAGATGCAGGGCACAGAGCCTTCCTGCCCAGGGTATGTCCCTGCTCCTGGCCTGCCTGGCCCGGCCACGGGGCTGCCTGGTTCTTGGCCTGAGGCAGGACAGTCTCTGCCACCTTGGCACTAAGAAATGGGCTTTCTCCATCTGGGTGGCAGCTTTGAGCCCTATACCGGCAAGAAAAAGGAAACTATCTATCAAAAACCTTCTCCTCCATGTTTGGCTTCTCTTTCCCCAGGCTACCAGTCCTGCCGGGAGGCCGTGGCCAGGTACTACAGCTGCCCAGAGGCACCCCTGCAGGCCCAGGTACTGTGTTGTGCTGCCCCTGCCAGACCAGATGGTGTGGGGGTCTGCCCCAGCTCTCCCTGTCCTGCCCAGCTGTGTGACTGAAGGCTAGTCCATGGCCTTGTCCCACACTGGTCTACTGCTGCTCTCATCCCTTGCCCATCCCTTCTTCACCCTCCTTAGGAGGAGGCTGAGCTCCCCAGCTGTTAGAGGGTTCCTGCTTTCAGTCAGGCTGTGGAATTGTGAATTGTTTTGGCTGAAAAGCTCTCAGCTCTCACCTAGCAGAGCCTGGGCATTATGTCCCTGCCATGTGGTTGGGGTACTTCAGAGTGGCTGTGCTTTCTGCTGACTCCTGTATGCTCTTTATAGGATGTCATCTTAACAAGTGGCTGCAGCCAGGCCATAGAACTTGCCTTGGCGGTGCTGGCTAACCCAGGACAGAATATCCTGGTGCCACGACCTGGCTTCTCCCTCTACAAGACTCTGGCATTGTCTATGGGGATTGAGGTCAAGCTCTACAACCTCTTGGTAAGTGGTAGCAGGCCTGGAAGGGGCAGCCCTGACATTTCTGTCTCTCAGAAATACCCTGTCCCTGCCTGGGAAGTAGGTAAAGATGCAACCTGAGCAACTCTGGAGACCCTGTCACACCTCACCCTGTGTGGCAACTCCATCCAGTTTCTCAGCTGTCACTTCACTTCCTCTTCTCTTAACTAGCCAGAGAAGGGCTGGGAAATTGATTTGAAGCACTTGGAGTCTCTCGTGGATGAGAAGACAGCTTGTCTCATTGTGAACAACCCGTCGAACCCCTGTGGCTCTGTGTTCAGCAAGAGCCACCTCCAGAAGATCCTGGCAGGTGAGTCTGCCTGTGTTTCTTGTGTATGGTTGCAGTCTGGTGTGCATTGCCCACATCTCAGTTACTGCAGCACCATGGCCCAGGGCTTTGCTCCTCTGCTCATAACTGGCTCCATCTCAGGAAGCAGGGCTGGCTCAGTGTGCAGGTGTTGCCATATCTGTGCAGGAAGAGGCACAGCATGTGTCTTGCTCTTCCTTACATGGTCTGTGTGGCTGGGACTGCTCATTTCTCCACTCTAGCTCTGCAGAGGGAGAGTGTTCATGGGGAGCCCTATGGTTCCTGGCCCTTGGCCTATCAGTAGGAGGGCTGAGCTGCCTGCTCCCATAGGTGAGAGCAGAGCTGGGTTCAGCCAGGGCAGGGATCTCCAGTGGTTGGGCTTTCTGAATGAATAGTCTGTAGGAGGAAGATAGGGACCCTCTGCCATGGGCTTCCCTCAGAGCCCTGTCAGGCCCTGCAGCAGGCAACAGGCAAGTCTGCTCCCATGGAGGGTGCAGCATGGCCAGGCTGAATGTCCTCTCTCCCACAGTGGCATCAAGACAGTGCATACCCATCCTTGCTGACGAGATCTATGGAGACATGGTGAGTATCAGCTGAGTCCTTTCCACCCCCATGCTCCCTGTCCTTTCTGACACACTCACCCTTTAGCCACGACAGCCAAGTCTCCAGAGGTGTGCACAGCTCCACCTCCCCATACTATGCCTGGGTCTATGCCTGGAGCTCCCAGTCTTCTGCTGTGTCTCCCATGTCCGGCTCCTTTCCTCTTACCAAACTTCTTGCTTTCATGCAAGTTCCCTTACCATGTTCATACCTTGAAGCTGGGAGCTTTCACCATCCACTTCCCATCACTTCCCTGCCTCCCTTCTTGTTGTCCCTCATGCACACCCCACAGTTCTCACAGTAAGAGGCAGGGACAGCCCTAACACAGGCTCCTGTCACAGGTGTTTGCTGCGGGAGGCCGTGGCCAGGTACTACAGCTGCCCAGAGGCACCCCTGCAGGCCCAGGTACTGTGTTGTGCTGCCCCTGCCAGACCAGATGGTGTGGGGGTCTGCCCCAGCTCTCCCTGTCCTGCCCAGCTGTGTGACTGAAGGCTAGTCCATGGCCTTGTCCCACACTGGTCTACTGCTGCTCTCATCCCTTGCCCATCCCTTCTTCACCCTCCTTAGGAGGAGGCTGAGCTCCCCAGCTGTTAGAGGGTTCCTGCTTTCAGTCAGGCTGTGGAATTGTGAATTGTTTTGGCTGAAAAGCTCTCAGCTCTCACCTAGCAGAGCCTGGGCATTATGTCCCTGCCATGTGGTTGGGGTACTTCAGAGTGGCTGTGCTTTCTGCTGACTCCTGTATGCTCTTTATAGGATGTCATCTTAACAAGTGGCTGCAGCCAGGCCATAGAACTTGCCTTGGCGGTGCTGGCTAACCCAGGACAGAATATCCTGGTGCCACGACCTGGCTTCTCCCTCTACAAGACTCTGGCATTGTCTATGGGGATTGAGGTCAAGCTCTACAACCTCTTGGTAAGTGGTAGCAGGCCTGGAAGGGGCAGCCCTGACATTTCTGTCTCTCAGAAATACCCTGTCCCTGCCTGGGAAGTAGGTAAAGATGCAACCTGAGCAACTCTGGAGACCCTGTCACACCTCACCCTGTGTGGCAACTCCATCCAGTTTCTCAGCTGTCACTTCACTTCCTCTTCTCTTAACTAGCCAGAGAAGGGCTGGGAAATTGATTTGAAGCACTTGGAGTCTCTCGTGGATGAGAAGACAGCTTGTCTCATTGTGAACAACCCGTCGAACCCCTGTGGCTCTGTGTTCAGCAAGAGCCACCTCCAGAAGATCCTGGCAGGTGAGTCTGCCTGTGTTTCTTGTGTATGGTTGCAGTCTGGTGTGCATTGCCCACATCTCAGTTACTGCAGCACCATGGCCCAGGGCTTTGCTCCTCTGCTCATAACTGGCTCCATCTCAGGAAGCAGGGCTGGCTCAGTGTGCAGGTGTTGCCATATCTGTGCAGGAAGAGGCACAGCATGTGTCTTGCTCTTCCTTACATGGTCTGTGTGGCTGGGACTGCTCATTTCTCCACTCTAGCTCTGCAGAGGGAGAGTGTTCATGGGGAGCCCTATGGTTCCTGGCCCTTGGCCTATCAGTAGGAGGGCTGAGCTGCCTGCTCCCATAGGTGAGAGCAGAGCTGGGTTCAGCCAGGGCAGGGATCTCCAGTGGTTGGGCTTTCTGAATGAATAGTCTGTAGGAGGAAGATAGGGACCCTCTGCCATGGGCTTCCCTCAGAGCCCTGTCAGGCCCTGCAGCAGGCAACAGGCAAGTCTGCTCCCATGGAGGGTGCAGCATGGCCAGGCTGAATGTCCTCTCTCCCACAGTGGCATCAAGACAGTGCATACCCATCCTTGCTGACGAGATCTATGGAGACATGGTGAGTATCAGCTGAGTCCTTTCCACCCCCATGCTCCCTGTCCTTTCTGACACACTCACCCTTTAGCCACGACAGCCAAGTCTCCAGAGGTGTGCACAGCTCCACCTCCCCATACTATGCCTGGGTCTATGCCTGGAGCTCCCAGTCTTCTGCTGTGTCTCCCATGTCCGGCTCCTTTCCTCTTACCAAACTTCTTGCTTTCATGCAAGTTCCCTTACCATGTTCATACCTTGAAGCTGGGAGCTTTCACCATCCACTTCCCATCACTTCCCTGCCTCCCTTCTTGTTGTCCCTCATGCACACCCCACAGTTCTCACAGTAAGAGGCAGGGACAGCCCTAACACAGGCTCCTGTCACAGGTGTTTGCTGACTGCAAATATGAACCCATTGCAACTCTCAGCACCAATGTGCCAATCTTATCCTGTGGTGGCTTGGCAAAGCGATGGCTGGTCCCTGGCTGGCGGATGGGCTGGATCCTAATTCATGACAGGAGAGACATCTTTGGTAATGAGGTAAGAACTGCTCAGTGTTTCTGTCATAGCAACAAGCTTTCAGTGTGTGGATCACCAGCACTTTAGCTGATACTGGCATACGCTGTTCTTCTGCTCTCACATGTGTCACACAATTGCTTATACATTCCTTCCTTACTCTGTCTGCTCCCACACGTGGCCTCCTACCCACATCTGTACTGTAACACACTAATTGTCTCTGCTGCTTCTTCATATATGCTTTGTCCTTTTTGTGTGCTTCTAATTCCTTTTCTTCTCAAATAGTTCCAGTGTACACTGAAGGTACTGCATGGCTTATCCAGCATGTGGAGTCCATGTGTGGTCTCTGTGTGCTCTTACATGGTTTATCTTAATTGTAAGTACAGAGCACTTTGCAGTGCTGCCAGTGCTTTATCTGGCTATTTGTTCATCTGTGTTACAAGAACCACCATCTACTATAGTGACCTTTCCACCTAGAAGGCTTTCTGTGGAGGAGGAGGAGGGAGAAGAGAGAGCCAACTGAGTGAGCAGAAGAGCTGATGTCGGTTGTCTCTACCTGGCTTTGAAAGGGTGGATCGTGGGCCCAAACCTGAGGGGAAAGCTCTGGCTTTATTTGATAAGCTACATTCCAGCCTGATTGTAGTCAGATTAGAAAACTCCAAAGGGCTGTGTCCCTTGGCATTACAATCTGCAACTGAGGAACAGAGAATGACATTGTGAATTGTCTGCAAATACTTGGCATATAGTCAAGCAAATGTTCTTTAGTACTCTGTATGCTTACTGAAGAGAGGGGTGTGAACAGCTGTAGAAATAGTCTTGGAATAGGTCTTGGAATTGTCCCTTCAGGGAAGCACAGTGTGAGCTGCAAATATCACCATGTTTTTTTCAGATCAGGGATGGCCTTCTAAGGCTGAGTCAAAGGATCCTAGGACCCTGTACAATTGTCCAAGGAGCACTGGAACGTATCTTGCACCGCACACCCCCTGAGTTCTACCACAACACCCTCAGCATCCTCAAGGTAAAAAGGCTGTGAAATGTCAGCACAGTTTGTTCATGGATTGTTTGGAGAGAGTCATATCTCTCTGGCTCATCAACCCTCCTTGCCCCACTTCAAGATGCAGTTCTATCTGTGACTGGTAGAGCCCAAAAAATCCAATTCCAGCAGGAGACCTGGTAACTGGGGCAGAAATATTTGCTGTGCTAAATTTCGAGCAGCTCAGCCCTGCAGCTGGAGGTGGCAACCCAGGGGATGGGATGTTTGGCACTGACTTACTGAGCTCAGCTCAGTCACACCTGCTGTACTCAAGGCCACGATCACCCATGCTGTTTGCATTTGTTGTCCCTTTTATTTACAGTGGGTGACCCTGTTTATATTCCTGGTCTGGAGCTTGGCTTCAGTTTGCTGAGCTGCTTCCTGGAATTTCTCCTGTTTTGAAATTCTCCTTTCTGCTTTTCAGGCCAATGCTGACCTTTGTTATGCTGCCTTATCAGCTATCCCTGGCCTCCAGCCTGTCCGGCCTGCTGGAGCCATGTACCTCATGGTAAGTGGAGAGAGAGTCATGCCACTTCCAGATCATTAACAGTCAGACTAGGTCTCTTGCCAATGCTGGTCAGTGGTTTCAGACTGGTGCTTGGCAGCAGGTCTCCCTTACCATGCACTTTCACATTGCCCTGTGTGGTAAATGTATCCTTTGGTCACTTTAGAAGGCCAGAATATGTTGTTCACTCCTCACACAGCAGAGGCTGGTACATTTCACTAACTCCCTTCTGCACAGAACTCACCAACTTGTACTTGGCAAAACAATGTTGTTTTACCTCAATTATTTTTATTATTTTTTTACCTGGATTTCACCATGAGGGTAGTAAGGTCCTGGAACAGGTTGTCCAGGGAGGCTGTGAAAGCCCCCTCCTTGGAGGGGTTCAAGGCCAGGTTGTATGAGGCTTGTGCAGCCTGGTCTGGTGGGAGGTGTCCCTGCTCATAGCTGGGAGGGTGGATCCTGGTGATCTTTAAGGTTCCTTCCAACCTTCACCATTCTGTGATTCTGTGATTTTAAGTCTGCTAGCAATGGGGAGCCCCTAGACAAGTCAGATTATCATACCTCCTGTTGAACATGTAGCCTTCTTCCTACTAGCAAGTGTGTCTTCTGCCTGTGCAGATGCTGCTTCTTCTGCCTTTTTCCATACTTGTTTGGGGTTTTTTTTAAGCTTTTTATGATGTGGTGAAACTTCCTTTTTCATCACAACACGCTGAATTGAGACATTTAAGTCTCTTAAATTTATCACATTTTAAATCCTTTTTCTCTCTGTTGTCTCATAGTGTCTGCAGTTTTTCATCAGCTTTTAAAATTGTGATCAAAGAACTAGAGAGTACTGCAGTATCAATCCTGCTGTTCTTGTATCAGTTGACCCCATTTCCAGTGTTACCCAGAGCTCCACAGGTCTTTCTGCTTTTGCTCTTTGTGTAGAGGCAGAGCTGTAAGATTCTTTCACACCTATTGTATTTCTGCAGTATCTGAACATTTATTTCAGCTTAAATCATCTGGTAAAATTTTTCTTCCACTGGCTCTTTCAGAACTTCTGCATGCAAGTTATTTCTCACTTGATTTGTTTAATAATATTTTCACTGTATGTTTAAAATAATAATTGGTTATGAACAAATGGCCAGGAAATCACTGTCCTTATGTGATAAAGGGACAGCCTCCTCCTTTCCAAATACCAAATATTTATTCAATATTTCAGTATTTCCATGTAATTTTACCAATTATATCATCTTGCAAGGATTTATGTTGTTATTTTTATTCTAGATCTTGCTGTCTTTTTTTAAACCACAATGTTAGTTAGTCTTTTTCTTGCTGGATGGATTTCCTGCATGACAGAGTTATTAATGCATATTGACTTAGAGTTCTCTCCCAGGCTTTTTTCAATATCTTATTTATTCTTTTTCACTTATGATTGGTTACTCTATCTTTGCCATAAGTTTATTTACTTAAGCTGTCCTTAATGGAAATTCCAGCTTTAGGCAGTTAGTGAATACTTCTTAAAGAAGCCCCTGTTGTCATTTATATGTTTCTGTTTGTCTTGTGTTCCAGTCAGCCTAAATAGGCAGAAATTGAAGGTGGGCAGCTGCACTTCCTGGGAAGTTGTTGGGCCATGTGGGTAATCAGGGACACTGCCTATAATTTTGGTGTCCTTGGTTGCCATGTTGCATCCCTCTGTTGCAGGTTGAGATTGAGATGGAGCATTTCCCTGAGTTTGAAAATGATGTGGAGTTCACCGAGCGACTCATCTCGGAGCAGTCTGTGTTCTGCTTGCCAGCCACGGTGAGCCTCGTGCCCAAAGCCCAGGGAGCTGTGGGGCAGAGTGTGGGGAGAGAAGCAGCAGGGTGTGCAGCCCTGAGCTCTGGGGACAGGCTGGGGTTTGTGCATGCAGTGTCTGTGGTCTGTCAAGGTGTGTGTGCTGGCTGTGAGCTCCAGTGCAGTTGTGTAGGGATGGAGACTGGCAGTCTCTGCCTTGCTACCAGCCCTTGATCAGGCTGCCAGGATCTTCCCAGCTCCAGACTTGTTCTGTATTTCTTGAGTTGTTGGAGCTGTATTCTTGAGCCTCATGTACTTCGTCCTTTCTCATTTCAGTGCTTTGAGTACCCAAACTTCTTCCGTGTGGTGATCACTGTGCCTGAGGAAATGATCTTGGAGGCCTGCAGCCGCATTCAGGAGTTCTGTGAGATGCACTACCAGGGTGCTGAGGGGGCCCAGGATCTGGAGTGTGACAAGTAGCCACAGCTGGTCTCCTGCCTCTGCCAAGCACCACCTTGTGTGAGGCAGCAGCCAGGCAGGCAGGTCTGCTTTCATCCCCTGCCTCCAAGCAGCCACCATCCTGCTAGTTCATGTTTTGTGCTCCACAGACCCCTCAGCACTAAGGAAAAAAAGCAGCCACCTCTCTCTCCTCCTCTGCAGCTTGCACACCCTCTGGCACCCGGTGCCTGTGCTCTCCATTCACTCTGCACTTGCACCCTGTGTTGGGCTGTGCTGCCTGCAAACCAGCTGCAGGCAGGAGCACAAGGCTGCTCCTGTGCTGGCAGCACTTCCCGAGGGGACAGGAGATGGCCACTGTCTTGGAGAACAAGAGGAAAGTATTCACCTCTTATTTACCTGTGTTACCTAAGGAGGCCAAAGCTCTTTACACTGAGCCCTTTCTATGACAAAGGGAGTAAATTATTGTGACTTTTTTATTAATAAAGATTCTGACATGCCAGTCTCTGCAAAATCCTCCTGTTGTGCCAGGTGCTTGGCTGCCCTGTGGGTCACCCCTGCTCAGCCCAGGCAGAGGTCGGGGAGCACGGCCCCCAGGCCGCAGCCCGTGCTGCTCTGCAGCGGGGCCGCCGGCATCCCCAGCAGCAGCGGTGGCGAAGGGGGTGGCAGCCCATGAAATGCTTGGGCTGTGCAGGGTGTTTGCAACACGCCAGCTGTGCCAGGGTCACTGCTGAATACGTCAGCTCCATAAAGTAGTAAGGAACCGGTGGCCCGGTGTCTGCTCCTGTGGAAAGAGGAGTCACCTGCAGATAACACTCACTGGGCTTCCTGCTCTGGCGAGCTGCTCAGGGACAGTTTCTGAAAGAGAGTTGACTTGTGGAGTGCCTCCTGTTGTTACCTACAGCTCTGTTCACCTGTCCTCCTGCAGAATTGGGATCCACAGGTAAACCTTGCCTCCCCAGTGATGGGAAAAGTGCGCCAGCTCTAGATGACAGTACACCATGAGAGGGGAGTTATCTATATGAGAAAGACTGCAGTGTATAAAAAGGTCATCAGCACATCAGCTGAGTGTCCCTGCTACATCCTTCCCTGCAAAGAAAGCAATCCCAGAACAAAAAGAGAAACAAGCTGGGGCTGTGTGTGAGTAGCAGACAGCTTCAGAGATTTCATGCCACTAGACCTCCAAATAGAGGCAAATAACCTGAGCTGCTTAAGACAGAACATTGACAAGTGGTAGGGAGCTGGGGTGTGTGAGGGATCTGTTGGGACAGGAGACCTTTACAGCATGACATTGCTGCAGTGATCTCTCCAGGTCCTTAACTTGACCCAAAAGCTTTTAATTGTATGTTCTCTCCCCTGTTCAGCTGAGGAGGTTGGTGGGCACCTGGCATCCAGGGTCAACCTACCACAGACACTTTCCCTTCCAGAGTGGCCTCAGGGATGTCTGTTAACAGGTAAGTATTCTGCACTGATTAGCACTGCTTGGTTTATTCTTCACCCAGCAGCATTTGGCCAGGGACACTGTGAGAGCCAGAGACATAGGCATATATATAGCTCATATATCTCAAGATATTTAGATTGCTCAAGGCCACATCCTCTGTTGCCATCTTCTGCAAACAATACTGCCTTTTGACCACACCTAGGTTTTCCCGGCTGCAATAGCAAACTAGCATTAAACCACAAACGTGCTAGTATCATTTTTCAGGCATTATGTTCACAGACGCTTTGCGTCACAGTATGGGTGTAGCCTAGAGCACCCTGCCAGCCAGGCAGACTAGCCTAAGCTGGTGTTTGGACATGCTTTGTGCCAAAAAAAGCCCCTTCAGCACTGACACCAAGGAAGAAGGCAAGACAGGTCTGGAGCTGCTCTTCCTCACATGCTCAGAAAAGGTGCTCTGGTAGAGCTCCCAGTGCCTTTATGGCTGACCCACGGCCACGCTCCTTCTCTTAGCTGGGGAGCACCAGCTGTGTAGCCCAGAGCAGGCTTGCAATGTGCTCCTCTCTGCACTGCCTGTGTTTAGAAGAGTGACCCACCCCAGACACAGGGACCAGGCAGTGAGGCAACCTTGTGCTTTCCTTGGGAAAGGAAGAAACTTTTTGGCTCATAGGCAAATGAAGGCGAAATGTGTAAGTCCCCAGCTCCCAAAGGGGCTGCCTGCAGGGCAAACCGGCACTTGAGGCAGGTTGGGTCAAACCACACCTGCC